TGGTGGAAGAGGACGTGGAGTTGAAGAAGCGAGAAGGTTAGAGGAAGTTAGAGGAAGAGGACAAGGAGGAGCAAGAAGAGGACGAGGAGGCCGAGGGAGAGGACGTGGAGTTGAAGAAGCGAGAGGGTTAGAGGAAGTTAGAGGAAGAGGACAAGGAGGAGCAAGAAGAGGATGAGGAGGGGAAAGAGGAAGGGTAAGAAGAGTAAGAAATAGAATAACTGATGACATCAGAGGTACAATAGTGGACCATGTCATCAACCATGGGATGACCCTGAGGGAAGCTGGCCAACGGGTTCAGCCTAATTTGAGCCGCTACACTGTGGCAAATGAGAATCGGTAAGTACTTTGTAGCACTGCCATACTCTAATGAGAAACACAACAGTACCATACATGCAAAAATACTGAAATTGTTACTTTACAGAATCGCTAGACGTCCAGATGTTGGGGGCAGAGGAAGAATGTTCACTCCAGAGCAAGAGACCCATATAGTGAACATGGTGATTGCCAATAATGCAATAAGACTGCGCGAAATACAGCAGCGCATAATTGATAATGACACCATCTTTCAAAATATACACAGTGTAAGCATTTCTGCACTAAGTCGTGTACTTGCGCGCCACAGAATAAGAATGAAGCAAATTTACCGAGTTCCTTTTGAGAGAAACACAGAACGTGTAAAGCAACTGCGATATGACTATGTGCAGGTAAGCTATAGTGTCATTGGTTCTGAATTTGGAAGTGCATACTGTAGTGCTGTGCATGGGCCTGATGTGTTGCATTTGTTTTGTCTTGTCCAGAGAGTGATGGAACTAGAAGCAGATGCCATGGGACATGAGCTACTTTTTGTAGATGAGGCCGGTTTTAACCTCAGTAAAACCAGGAGACGTGGCAGGAACATTATTGGACACCGTGCCATCATCATTGTCCCAGGACAACGTGGTGGTAACATAACCATGTGTGCAGCTATAAGCCAAAATGGTGTTGTTCACCATCATGCAACCATAGGCCCATACAACACTGCACACATTATTGCATTCCTGGACACCTTACATGACATGCTCACTGTTCAGAGACCAGAGCATACCCGATATTTCATCATATGGTACAATGTTAGTTTCCATAGGGCTGCTTTGGTCCGCAACTGGTTTACAGACCACCCATTCTTCATGGCACTCAACCTCCCTCCATACTCTCCATTCTTAAATCCCATCGAGGAGTTCTTCTCTGCCTGGTGCTGGAAAGTGTACGACGGTCATCCTCATCAACAGGTAGCCCTTTTACAGGCAATGGAGGAGGCATGTGGAGATATTGACCAGGCATCATGTCAGGCCTGGATACGGCATTCAAGGAGATAATTTCCCCGGTGCCTTGGACTGGAGGATATCGCATGCGATGTGGACGAAATTTTGTGGCCGGACCCAGAAAGACGACATGATGTTTTTTTTTTTTTTTTTTTTTTTTTTTTTTTTTGTGAAATTACTATTTTGTGTTCTGACTTTGTCTTGGTTTGATGAGTGTGAATAAACACCAATACTTGAAGTTTGGATCCTTGTATGTTTACATGACACTATGACAAAAGTATGACCTCAAATTGACATCTGTACACAGAGAAAGCAAAAGCCAGATGTGTTTTGTATTCATACCATCAGTGTGTAGTTGGCACATTGTGTGCTTAGTAGATGATGGCTTGTGTTTACTGTTTGATACGAAAACACCATTTTTACGAAGGTGTGAAGAGTTAATCTAGCTGTGTTCGCTTTTGCAAGAGAACTACAATGTTTTGATAATTGGGTGAAAGGTTTTCTTATTTGTGTGTAGAGTTTTGCAAAAATAGCCAATAGTTACAAAAAATGTGCTTAAGCAATCAGAAAAAACTGTAAAACAGCAGAGAGTTGTATGAAAGCAATTGATGCATGTCCAAAAGCATTTACTGTAATAATACCAAATAATAAAATGTTTCAACAGCATGTGTGTGTACCTGCAAATATTTCTGTGCATATGAACAATCTGAAGAATTTTCTACAATTTGAACTATTTTAGTATTATGGCAAAGCATACTAAAGATGAGAGTGCTTTTCATTATGCCCAACAGTGTGTAGTTGGTTAGACAAAAATTTGGTAATATGAATGAAGTGTGTACCATTTCGTGCAAAAGTTTGATTTTGATAATGCTATATGTAGTTTTGGTTGCAGTGCTTCATTTTGTAGGATATATGAGGTATTTTGCAGTTTGGGTGTGTGGTTTTGTGAATTGTGTTAAGTATTTTGATAAAACCAGCCTAGTTTGTAAAATTGTGTGTTAGCAATTGGAAAAAACTGTAATTATTTGATTTTGAGACATGTTTGCAGTGTTTTGTTAGACATAGTGTAATGTGTTAGTGTATTATTGTATTTTGAAAATTAGTTTTGGAGTTTAGTTTACAATGTGTGATTTTGAACATGAAATTAACCGTTTTGCCAATTGTGTGTTTTAGGTGTGTTGGTGCGTTAAGAGTTTAGGAAACTTGTTAAATGTATTGAAAAAACTGTCATAGCGATTGGAAAAAACTGTAACAGACAAGCAATACCTCCCAACAAAATTATGGATTGTTTTTGTAGTATTTACAAATGCTACAGTAACACACACCATCCCACAATAGCAAAAACAATATTCCAAACCTTAGATACATTATAAAAAACTCTGCTTCTGCAATGATATGAGTTCAAAAACAATATATCTCAGCTGATAATAAAAATAAATAAAAAATAATAATAATAATAATTGACCCCATGTAGTGAGAGATGCAGTGAGAGATGTAGTGAGAGGTGCAGTGAGACGTGCAGTGAGAGGTGCAGTGAGACGTGCAGTGAGAGGTGCAGTGAGAGATGCAGTGAGAGGTGCAGTGAGTGATGCAGTGAGAGGTGCAGTGAGACGTGCAGTGAGAGGTGCAGTGAGAGGTGCAGTGAGAGGTGCAGTGAGTGATGCAGTGAGAGGTGCAGTGAGACGTGCAGTGAGAGGTGCAGTGAGAGGTGCAGTGAGAGGTGCAGTGAGTGATGCAGTGAGAGGTGCAGTGAGAGGTGCAGTGAGAGATGCAGTGAGAGGTGCAGTGAGAGGTGCAGTGAGAGATGCAGTGAGTGATGCAGTGAGAGGTGCAGTGAGAGATGCAGTGAGAGGTGCAGTGAGAGATGCAGTGAGTGATGCAGTGAGAGGTGCAGTGAGAGGTGCAGTGAGAGGTGCAGTGAGAGATGCAGTGAGTGATGCAGTGAGAGGTGCAGTGAGAGGTGCAGTGAGAGGTGCAGTGAGAGATGCAGTGAGTGATGCAGTGAGAGGTGCAGTGAGAGGTGCAGTGAGAGGTGCAGTGAGAGATGCAGTGAGTGATGCAGTGAGAGGTGCAGTGAGAGGTGCAGTGAGAGATGCAGTGAGAGGTGCAGTGAGAGGTGCAGGTGCAGAGAGAGGTGAAAAAAACTGATTTGCTTTTTACTGGAATGCTTTTGAATGTGAACAGTACGGTACATGTGGACATAAAAGTCCCAACCAAGAAATTTAATGTAAAAACGGGGGATTGCATTTTTATTGCATGCAAATACCTGTAAAACGGACACATAAAAGTCTATGTAGTTTTTGTAATGTCAACAATAGCCATTATTTTGAAACCTGGTGTACTTTGATTGACTGCATTTACCTTGTGAAGTGAAAACAAGTGTTATTCTTTGACAGAATAATTTCATTTTGAGTCAGATTTCCAGTGTTTTGGGAAATTTAATGTGTAGAGAAAGATGTGTTCTATTTTGAAATGAAGAGTTAGTATATATTTAACAAAATGTGTTTTTGAGAAGAAAATCATCCATTTGGCCAATTGTGTTTTGTTGGTGTGAGTCTGTGTTAAGAGTTTCGAAAAAGTATCTGAAGTATGGGTAAGCGCTTGTTGGCGATTGAAAAAAACTGTAAGACAACCACATAAAAGACTTGAACGCTTTGTGTGGCACTTCAATTTATGCTTAGCTGGAACAATGCTAATTTACTCACCATTGTGTGACTGTTGCAGTGTTAACTTCTGGGAGCTGGATGGTGGTCTCGCTCATCACCTTAGCATTGGTGAGGATGCACTCTCGGATGTGCTTGTAGGCACGCACCACCATTGTGAAGCGGGACACCCTCACTCCATCACACCGCACCACATTTGGATAGAGGGCACAGAGCCTTGTGAAGATGGCCTCCACCACTCGGTTGCAGCTAGGCCACTGTGCAGGACTATGAGCCCCAACGAAACACCTGCAAATTACAGCAGAATACATATTCATTTCAATGTGTGATCATTACTCTGTTATTTTTCTTGTTTTTTTTCCCCCTTTTCTAATCTGTCTGTTTTGCTTTGTGTTGTCTAGATGTTAATTTTTGATATCTGTGCATAGTTATGTTTTGTGGTTTGTTTTATACAAAATTTAAGACAATCAAGAACCTGTGTTTGCTAAATTTAACATACCTTTTGGTGCTCTCCACACCTGGTGCCACAATCTTCTTAGTGGCTCTGAATCGTCCCTGTTTTAGGGAGGTTTGGTGACGTCGTGGGTAAATGGTTTTCCTCTTGTCATACTCCCCCAATGCCTGCCATAGGGTGATGATCTTGACGCACTCTTCTCCAGTCAAGGCCAGACGGTGGTCTCTGAGGCTAACCAAGAACTCTGCCAAGTCCTGCACGGCTCCATACCCCCAATATTATCAGGTCCAACAGAATCCTAAAATAAAAGATAATTTAGGAACTTTTGATAGCAGCAATGAATACAAATATTCACATGAAAGCACAGCAAACATAACTAAGATTTTGTTTACAGACGTAAATGTACACTGGGCCCTTACATCATGTGAAGTGTTCTCTTCAGATGTCAGAAGACCAGTTTCAGCTGATAATTGGTCCACTGGAACTACATGAAAAAGGCAAACATTCAGTTTAAATTTGTATTTTTGCCTTTCAATAAGACATATATACATAGAGGTGGTGGTAATTGTTGTCACAATAACTCTATATAGATACTTTGGTAAACTCACAGCTATGTGCTCCAGGAAAGAGTCCTGGCTTTGAATGACTGTGCAGTGGGCTGGTGACAGGAGACGGAGGGGCCACAGACAATGATGAAATGGAGCAGGTGACAGATGTCACTGGTGATGGAGGAACCACAGACAATGATGAAATGGAGCTGTTGACAGGAGATGTCACTGGTGATGGAGGAACCACAGACAATGATGAAATGGAGCTGGTGACAGGAGATGTCACTGGTGATGGAGGAACCACAGACAATGATGAAATGGAGCTGGTGACAGGAGGGGTTGGAGATGATGCTGCAGACACTGATGCTTGTGAAGAGGCAACAGGTGTCCGTTCTGTGTCAAAGGTGGGGACAGTGATGTCCTGAAACTCCTCAAGTTCAGCATAACCTTCATCCACTTCTATACCAACCTCAGTGGTCTCGGACTCTTCAATGGCCAACTTGTAGTCCTGCAGAACTTTACCAGTTTGCTGGTAAAGGTATTCCACTCCAATAAGCTCACCTTTAAAATATTAAAACATTGAAAATTAGATAATATACCAGGATATTATATTATAATTCAGAGGTTAAATGGTATGTGTACACTTAAAAAAAAATGTGACCAAAAACAACAAATAGTTATCTACCAGTGTACTTTCTTGGCCCAACATAAGGGATGATTTTCTTGCCCATAACCTCCTCTGCAAGAGTATTGACAGCATGAAGATGATTGTAGGAATGGGGCTGCTGCTCATCAGTTGTTGCTACCACAGCCCGGTCCTCATTCCACCTTGCAAGTCCATCCATAAGATACGCCTGGAAGAAGGTGTCACTCGCCAGCGTACCTGTAAATTCAAAAAAGAAAAATAAGACCACACAAAAATGTCATATGGATACACAAATAGCTGTTCCCATAGTTATTTTAATATATAATTAAATCAAATCTTATTTTAATAATTCAGTTAAGTCACTTATTTACCTGGGATGAATCTGTTAAGGTGCAGGTGAAATGACTCAAGCGAAGTGGAACCTCTGGCACAGCGGTAGGTTGGCAGACGGTGGCCTCCCTTCACTACAGTGCCCGTCTGCATGTAGAGCTGCACACCAACAGGATCCTGGATGCAGGCCACATGCTTCCGCTGGGACTTCAATATCTCTCTCATCCGGGCTGAGTTTATTAGTGGGACTCCCATAGTGTCACGACCAGCATCTCCATCAAAGGCCTGAATATGGCTCTCAATCAGCGCCAGGGTGTCCTTGGTCCCGCGAGTGGTTCTCCTGCAATGTAGGGCTAGCTCGTTACGGCTGATACTGCGCAGCACATCAGCCTCGGATGTAGGTTTCCAGTTAGCTTCTAGCTCTGCATGCTTTGCCTTCTTCAGGGCCGTCAGGTCAACCTGGTCCCACATGAAAATACAGTGGCTGAGGCGACTCATAAATGTGGCATACAACTGATGAGAGTCAGTGGTGCAACCCACAGCAAACCTCCGCATGAAGTGCCATACATCCAAACGGATGATCATTTGCTCCCACTCTTCAAACATTCTTCTCAGAAGAGTGTTGCCACAGCAGTCTCGGTCGACGTACAGTATCTCGGGAGGAGCCACCCCAGCCACTCTGTATCTTTTAATGAGGCCTTCAATCATTGGCCCGAGACCAAAACCTTCACTGGCTGTGAGCACGGACATGATCACCTGTCCGTGCTCATTACCAATATTGGTTGCCCAGGTAGCAGTGCCATAGCTGCGTCCAGCTAGTTTTCTGGCCACTTTTTTTGTTGAATCCATTTTTAAGATCCGACCATATTGCAATGTGATAGTGGCCTTGATCTCATCCAGCCTTTGCAGGACATCCTGGGCGTACACCTGCATCAGCCACCGATGCTTAGGGACAGAAGGCATTGAAGGAGCAGATTCAAATGTCACAGGCAGGATCAGGCTCGAAGTGACAGCACTGGCAATCCCCTTGCAATCTGTCAGATACTGGACTGTCTTTTGCAACCACACCTCAGTATGACGTTCCTGCAGCTTGCGCTGGATCTGGCTGCTGCTGTTTCCCAGCCCTCGCTGACGCATCAAACATACTACCTCGACGTCACATGCAAGTTTTGATGTAAGAATGCATGGGAACTGCACCCTGTGGCCAATGTCGAGCTGGGAGACGATATCATGGCTCCAGCTGATGACTTTCCTCTTACATCTTCGGCAGGCCAGGTACTCAGATGCCACAAAGTATATCTTACCCAAGGCAAACACCTGCCTGATCTTTTGATGCAAGCCAGCTGAGGTCAGAAGGTCTTTCTGACAGTCTGGATGTGGACAGGTCAGCTTCACTTGCCACAGTTTTCGTGGCATCCAGAGCAGCAGGGGATGGCCAAAGTAGTTCTCTAAGGGAGGGCAATTACTGGTCTTCAGTGGAACCTGTGGAGGATACCACCAAAGTTTGTCCACCCTGCTAAAGATCAGCTCAGGATGGCCCTGTGCTGTCCACCTGAACAGGGCCTTGGAAATCCACCTCTGATCCACTTCAGGCAGAGTGTGTATCCATCCAGATGGAAGACAGACTCGTTGTGCTGGGGAAAAAAACAAAAAATTTAATAAATACAACAAATGCAAATTCACAATAACTTCCCTTAACTTTTTTATCCCTGGAATGGAACTTGAATATTTTGTTGCATATTTTAAATAAGTATAAACGTACATGCCAGATGTGCCATCTCAAACTTAGTTGCCTCTGCCAGCAGTGTGCTGTCATCTATCTCAATGGACACAGTCGGGCGAGTGAGGATAGCTGAGGTCCCTGTGGCTGCCTCAATGGACACAGTAGGGTTATTGAGGATTGCTGAGGTCCCTGTGCCTGCCTCAATGGACACAGTCGGGCGAGTGAGGGTGGCTGAGGGCCGCGTACGTGCCTGGGCCAAAGCTACAAAACAAAACACAGAACAGATAAACATGACTACAGAACAATAAATCCTAAAATCCTACAAAGCAATAAATACTAAACACACCAAAAAAGTGTTATACAAATAAATGTTTGCTTACAAGGTGTGGATTTGACGGGGGAAACCAGCCTTTCAATGGTCTTGGTCAGGCTTTTTTGGTTAGGCAACTTCCTAAACAAGAGGGAGCGGAGAGAGGCGGTGGAAGTATGGGTGGAGGCAGCGTGCTGGGTGGTGGTTGTAGCGTGCTGGGTGGAGGCAGCGTGCTGGGTGGTGGTAGCGTGCTGGGAGGTGATGGTAGCGTGCTGGGTGGTGATGGTAGCATGCTGGGTGGAGGCAGCGTGTTGGGTGGTGGTAGCGTGCTGGGTGGTGGCAGCGTGCGGGGTGGTGGTAGCGTGCTGGGTGGTGGTAGCGTGCTGGGTGGTGGTAGCGTGCTGGGTGGTGGTAGCGTGCTGGGTGGAGGTAGCGTGCCGGCTGGTGGCAGCGTGCTGGAGAACTTTCCCAGCATATTGCTCTTCCTTCATTGCAATGGCAATTCTGCAAGAAGGAAAGAGCACAAAATACTCCCTGAAACTCTCTTTGTTGTGGGCATGTTCTTGGGAGTCTTTGCTGCCTCCTGTGGGGTCCCTCTTCATAGCTGCCACCAAGTAAGCTGCATACCCCAGGGCATTTTCAGCCACCCACTTGAATGTTTGCCCTCGAAATACACCAAACTGGATTTCAAAGAAACCCAGCAGGTGCTTTCTGTTAGCTAGATCTCCGTGGTGCTGACTTAAGCTTTTCTTGGCCTTGTCCAGCACTCTGTCAGGGGACAGGGGTCTTGTGTACGGCTTTCCTTTGTTGGCCTCCTTCACCTTTGCCGCTTCCATTGTATCAGTCAGATTCAGGCTGCCATCAGCTCGTCTCCTGAAGCGAGGTTCCATCTAAATAAAAAAAAATGTTTGAAGATATAAAGACTTTAGAGAAAGAAACAGACAAACACATTTGGTAACACATTAGTTAATACAGCCGTGCATATTACATTACTATATTTACTCATGATCACCTTGTAATGTTGATTATATATTATGCTTTGTGTGTCTATATTTTTCTACCTTGTAATGTTGATTATATATTATGCTTTGTGTGTCTATATTTTTCTACCTTGTAATGTTGATTATATATTATGCTTTGTGTGTCTATATTTTTCTACCTTGTAATGTTGATTATATATTATGCTTTGTGTGTCTATATTTTTCTAACAGGCTTAAAATGTTGATTTACATATCAGAATCTCAGAATGATCCCAGAGTAAGATGTCATTTTTTCAATAATTATTATACCATTATTATACCATTGTTATACCACTACTTTCCCCTCTTTTAAATCCTTTGCTCTATTACAAGTAACAGTTAAATGTAATGCATTCAAAATGTTAGCCTACTTAACGTTAGCTAAAACAAGTTAGTTTAGCATCAAAATATAGTAAAAGTACTAAAAGTAGAAGCATAATGTACACTATATTACAGTAATTGAATTATAATTAGTGATGCCTTAGTGTGTAACAATCATTTTAATGTTGCAACTGGTAAAGCTGTAGTAAACTGTAACGTTATATGCTTTGTTCTGCTTGGTCGCTTTATCTATAAATACATTTTTTAATTATATTTTGTATTAATTACTTGAATTATTAGCTAGTCTGAGACACATGTTATTCATATAAAACAACTATATATTTGGCACTTCACTTTTATTGACAAAAGACTGACTTACTTTGCGAATTTTGATCCGAAGTTAATCAATGAATGTTATCCTCTTCTCCGGTCCCAATTCGCAAGTCTCTGGGGGGGAGGTGACTCTTGACGTTTATTGGTCAATTCTTGGTTAGTTACTAGGCTGAATCATGGTAGCGATGAGAGCCGCGATTGGCCATAAGCGTACGAATCTTGGTTGCAGCAGGGAACGTGATTGGCTGTCATAACCAAGAATAGTACGAATCTTGGTTGCAGCAGGGAACGTGATTGGCTGTCATAACCAAGAATAACCACGATTTACAGGCGGCATGAAGCGCCACAGAGCCCACGTGACGGATTGGCCGGGCCACGTGATGGTTTTTCATTTGGGCATTTGCACATCCAACAGTGTAATGCTATACACTCTGCGGGCAGAAAAGGCAGGTCCTCGAGCCTCTGCACAATTGAAACTCGATTCAAAGTCCCGAGGCCCTCTGTCCAAGAACGATCCCAAAGAGCAAAGCCAACGGGGTAGAGGCACCACTGGGATTCGAACCAAGGATCTCCTGTTTAAAAGACAGGCGCTTTAACCAACTAAGCCACGGCGCATACCTCTGCTCCCTGCTGCCAGAAGGGCGACCCAGAGGAGCAAAACATAGAGAAAAAAAGATGCAAATCGTGGACCAGGCGCTGGATAGCATGAAATAGTTTGTTGACAACTGCGTGGGGGGTGGCCAGCTAGCCTCTGCGTTTGTTGGCAAAGCCGTGTTCAGCAGGACTCCCAGAACCCACGTCACACATGTTTATGGAGCTCCATTCACAAGAGCTGCAAAGACCATCTAAGCTACGGGAAGAGAAAGGAAGTCTGGCACCTCTCTGTGGTGACGGCCGGTCCTTGTGTGCAAGAGCCAAGAGTTTTCGGTAAGCACATGTAGTGGTAAACAAAAAAGACAACATTTTGAAGCCTTTCGACTACATTGACATTATTTGAAATGAACACGTTGAGAACAAGAGGCCTCAAAAGCTTTCTGTTACCCGAGGGCAACACTGTGCAGTATGGGGTTGACAAAACGGCAAAAGTCACGACTCTGGTGGGACTAGAACCCACAACCTTTGAATTGCCTCATTCGAACCCAGGAACTCCTGTTTACTAGACA